TTTATATACTACATTTTTGTCTTTTGGTTGATTAGATTGGGGCGTGATCCAGTGGTCACTGGGCAGCCTGCACTTTATTTGCACTTTTTCTCCCATCAACCCGTCTTTTGCATATTTTAAAGTGTAATGGGCCGGAGAAATAGGACATGTATTTCTATTGTTTGGGAAGCGCTGGCCCACAATTTTATATTATTATCAACCCCATCATACAGTGAAGGAATAGACAGGGTCCATATGCTGGACTCCCCTTCAACCCTAACACAGAGGCTGACGGAAAGAGTGATGGGTATTTATCCCTGCTCTGGTTAATGGTGGGATTTAAGAGACTAAATTTTTTTGTTTATTTAACTCTTTTATTGAGCTGTTTAACTTAAGTTAGAAGTCTACCCAGCAGTAAATACCAAATTAGTGTAAGTTTGCAGGATGCCAAAATAACATCAGCCTCAAGTAAATCAACCTCATAGTGACCCCACAAGAAACATAGGTCACTGTAGTTAGTCTTAACGTCTATAGTCTTTATTTATTGTACTGTGACCTGTAAGTAAATTGGAGACTTTCTATGTTTAAACTGATTAATTTGCCTATCTGCTTTTTTGAGAATTGTCAGTGGGTATTATCTATCACCTCACACTACATTTACTGTTGAATAATCCTCTGCTAATATTATAAATATCAAAGGTGACCAGCTGCTTTCCTTTTATTTTGTTAGCTGGTAGATTAATCCCTTTATATACAATTGAGGACTTTACTTTATCTTGATTTAACACTTGATTACATTTCACAGGGCATATTATCTGTATTTATGTATGTATTTATTGATTTCAAGTTTCCCAGTGCATATGTACATATAGTTCTCCATTGTGCGCCTGGTAGGTTAACCTGAGTGTGAGCTCTCACTAGTACTAGATAGATAGGAACAATAGTGCCACTTGGGCCTTAGTTTCTCGGCTCGTGGTACGCATACCCCAGGGGGTACGTGCAACGCACGCAGCAGGTACTTCAAGAGCTGGACAGCTGAGAGAGAATGGAGGTAGAGTCGGCAAGGGAGTTGTACTCTTCATGATATTCCAGCACCGCTCCCTCACGTGCCCTGCAGTGATATGGGGAGCTGGGTTATGACATCACTCCAGCATCTCTAAACAGTGTGCCCAGGAGCACACTGGCCCCAGGGAAAGCATCCACTTCAGCTCTCCCAAAGGTAGGGAGTGAACATAAATAAAAATTATACAAACAAAATTATAATTTGTGAGTGTGTGTGAGGGAATGTGTTTATGTCTGCCAATGAATATGTCTGTAAGTGTGTGTCAAATCAGTGAGTGTGTGTGTCTGTCAGTGTGTGCCAAATCAGTGGGAGTGTGTGTCAGTGTGTTAAATCAGCAAGTGTGTCTGTCTGTGTGTGTCAAATCAGTAAGTGTGTGTTTCAGTATGTGTCTGTTAGTATGTCAAATCAGTGAGAGTGTGTCTGTCAGTAAATGTGTCTGTCAGTTTCATCTGTGTGTAAGTGTGTGTGTCAGTGTTCTCTGAGTGTAAGTGTGTGTCAGAGTTCTCTGTTCGTAAATGTGTGTCAGTAAGCATGTGTCTGTCAGTGAATGTGTGTGTGTGTGTGTCTGTCAGTGTGTGTCAAATCAGTGAGTGTGTCCACTGTGTGTGTGTCAGTTTCCTCTGTGTCAGTGTGTATCAGTATTATCTGTGTGTAAATGTGTGTTTAGTTTGTGTGTGTCTGTCTGTCTGTCATTGAGTGTGTGTTTGTCAGTAAATGTGTGTGTGTGTGTGTGTCAAATCAGCGAGAGTGTGTCTATCAGTGAATGTGTCCTCTGTGTGCAAGTATGCGTGTGTCCCTAATAGTTTATGGTTTTGGTACAGAATGAAGCACACATTTAAAGTTACTGTGACCCAACAGAATGCTCTGTTTGTATTATGATACTCATATATATTGTGATATTTCATACCTAAATTATAATTTTCCTCTTTAATATATTGCAATACAATGGTTTATTGGAACAAATGTATTTTACTCTATACTTCTGTGGAGGTAAATTCGGGTGAACATGTTCAAATCGTGTCACCTGTTTCTATGTCAAACATTGAATTTCACTATGATTATTGTGGTTATTAATTTAAAATTAAAACATTCAGCTATCTGCCCTGACACATGTAATCTGCCCTGACACATTTCAGCAGTTATTTTAAATTGAAATTTTTATGTTCTTTTCTTTAATTGTGGCTGCTGTTTTTTTAGCTTTTTTTTAAAACTATATTTATATAAACTTAAAGGGACTTTCCAGTGCCAGGAAGACAAATTGTTTTCCTGACACTGCAGGTCCCCTCTCCCTCCCAGCTCCCATCCCCGGTTGCTGAAGTGGTCAAAACCTCTTCAGTGACTTTCCTGAGGCAGCACCGATGTCCCTCGGCGCTGCTTCCGGGTCCGCTCACGCTCCTCCCAGTCACCACGTCATGTGGTGGGGAAGACCGATCAAGCCCACCGGCGGGAAGACCGATCAAGCCCGCCGTTCACGGGCATTAGACCTCTCCATAGTAAAGCATTGAAAATGCTTTCAATGCTTTCCTATGGGGATTTTAGCGACGATGTAGGTCCTCACACAGCGTGAGGACGTCCAGCGACGCTCTAGCACAGAAAACCTGTGCTAGAATCCCAGAAGTGCCCTCTAGTGGCTGTCACTAGAGGAGGAGTTAACACTGCAATGTAATTATTGCAGTTTATGAAAACTGCAATAATTACACTTGCAGGGTTAAGGGTAGTGGGAGTTGGCACCCAGGCCACTCCAATGGGCAGAAGTGGTCTGGGTGCCTGGAGTGTCCCTTTAACAGGGAATTATGCTTTCTCAGGATTTCCTATACAATATGTTTACTTTTTCCTATAATAACAAATATTTGTAAAAAAATAAAATAAATTGTAGAAATCTACACCTTGTTAGTCTCAAACTGTGTCTACATTTCCTCCTGCATTTTGAAGCTGTCCCTTTAAACTTGCCTTGAAATTCTCTCTCATTTTTTCTATTTTCTAATTAGCTTTCTATCAACCTAGACACCACTCATCATCCTACTGTTTTCCACCCTCATGTGCCTTACTCACACGGCTCTTTTTCCTGTGCATTGTTCTCTGAGCCAGCTAGCAATACTCGGTACATGCTAACAGTACAACTCATACATGCCTTTTTGAAAGATAGGATACCTACCTGGTATGACTTCTATCACCATTTCACATTAAATTAAATATCATAAAATATTGCAAAGAAGAAAAACAAAATCAATATGTGGATTTATTGCATTCACAATAAAACATTTTATCAGTTTAAGTTAATGTTAGACAGGATCGCAGAGCTAAATTCAATCTGAGGCATGCTAAATCCATGGAATGAAACCCTATAGCAAAGCAAATAGACGAGCCTCCCATCACTCTTTACGCGTAGTGTAGACATGTCTTGTCAAGTTATTTCATCTGAGCTTTGAAGTGCATGGGTTTTGTTTGCTGAGGAATCTACTTACAATAGGCAGAGGTTTTTATGGTGCTTTAAGTATGGATAAGAAATGTAAATGGACCACTTTAGCTCATCATTGACCGTTTACAACAGTCTTCTGTGGAAATCTAAATGTAGCGTGGCTGATTTGCCAGTAATATAGTGCTACTACAGTGTAAAATAATAGTACTTTTTAGAATCAATTCAAAATAAGCTCGGTATTTGGAGTTTTTTTAAATTTCCCTTTAAAAAAAAAAAAAGCTTATTAGTAATTAACTGTTAATTTTGCCTGTCTATTGTTGTATATGTTCAGATTTAATAGTGTGAGTTTGTAAAATCATATCATACCATATGTATTACAGCAGATCCCCTTTATATTATATCTATTAATGCATATTAATACTAAATGCAGAGTGCTTCTTGACTCCGTAAAGGCTATTGGATTTCACCTTGACCAACACGCTGCTCCTGTGTATGTTCCGGTATTAACAACCAATATTGCATTGGTGAATAGTAAATATGCAATATATTAATATAAAGTCATCAAATACAAATAATTTATTTAATAGGAAGGGGTTTTTTTTATCTCTGACTAGATTTTAAGCAAATCAAACACATGCCAGACAAATTATGTCATTTAGCTCCTGAAGTGTCCGTGCGGCTTAGGATATGTGGGCAAGACCATATACTCACTTAAAGATCGGGTGTCGCAGCATAAAACAACTATACATAGTGCCAACTCAGAGGCACCAGTCGCACAACACTTAAGAGAGAAAATACACAATGTATGGCAATTGCGCTACCAGGTTTTGGAAAGAGTAGCACCACTTCCTCGTGAAGGTAATAGGGAAAGAATCTTGTTAAAGAAAGAGGTTTGCTGGATGTACCTCTTGGATATGGCGTCACCTTAAGGTCTTAATGAGAAGCTTGAGCGGCACTGGCTCCTCTAGGTACTCCAGCAAACACCTGCTGGAAGGCTGGAGTGTCCTGAGTGTGGTATGTATGAAGTATAAAATATATCTTCCTATGTCTTATGCCTTATTCTAGTGACTAATACCGTTCTATGTTTTTTTGCTTTATTTCTTCCAAAGATAGCAATAGTCCTGCACTTTGTTACTCTAAACTACATGCACAGGATTAGGCACCCTGTATACCCTAGTACCTAATTGGCAATGGGTGGTTCTTTTCTTTATTACATATCTACTATATATGGGTGTAACATTATATACTATAATATTATACACTATACTTTTGCAGCTTTTATCTTCCCACACTGGGTATTATATTCACTTTTACCTTTATCTTTCATTCAAATTTGATTATGTGGCTTCCTGTGTTGTAATTTTATGCTTATGGCCTGTTTTTGATATATTCCATATTTGAGGTATATTTCTTTAAACACTTATAAAGCATTTATATGTTGCTTTATTTATTGTGATCTCTATAATGAACATCTGTATTGCATAGTCATTTTCAAACAACCGTGTGTCATGAAGTCAAACGCAGTGTGCGTGCGTGCATGACATCCGACGTCATGACGTCACGCCCACACTTGCCAGAAACCGGAAGAGAGCTTCAAGATGGTGGAGGGAAGCCAAATAATGAGAAACAGCTGCTCTTGATCTGGTTCTTAATTTATTGCACATTGTATATAAATTGGTGCATGTTACTGCATGTTTAAGGACATTTGCATTGAAAAAGGGCTTGTGCCCAAAATGTTTGCCTGTCTTTTATGTCCTTCAAATAAATGCTTGGTAGCACATTGGTGCACATTACAACTGGAAGCACAGACTTAATTTTTTTTCCATGTTTATTTGGTTTACACTGCTGGAACTTCAATGGGAGGAGCTGCAGCTCAGGAGAAACTGTTTGAATTTTCAATTCTTTTGGTATTGCAATTAACATGTGTCTCTACTCCTTTTCTCTAGAGTAGTTGGGCACCCCTAAGGGTGATAGCAGTGGAATAATTCATACAAAGTGAATGGGGCACCTCTCTTTGTGCCACTAACATTAGAGCAAGGAGCATCCAATCTTAAACATTACTTTACCTCACACTAAGGTTTTGTCAGTGTGAGGAAAGCAGAGGATCCCTCTTAGTTTATCTTTGGTCTTCAGTACTGCAGTTCATTGCAACCATTCCCTTTAAATGAAAATAATTCAAATGTGTGTACAAAAATGACAGGTCATTTAAGATGCATTGTTATTCATATAGGTTTTCTCCTGCATGTTTCATCAATATTACACTTTAACCTCTTGAAATTTCCATTTAGTTCCCCTACATTGTTTGATGCCTTGTAGTCTTAATGATTTACTCCATGTACACAAAAGTATATGTAAACTAACTTTTTAACTAATTAAACATTGCAACTACACATTGCAGTTTTTAGTTGTTTTTTTTTTGTTTTGTGTTTTATTTACCATATCTTTAATTAACAAGTACTTAAACAAGTGCTTTACACTGTGTACCATTCATCACCCTACTACCTGTTGTGTTGAAAATTCAGTCTTTTCTTCACTATTGCTAATTTGTAACATCACTAATCAACAATGAAATTAAACAAACTACACAAAGCACACTATCAGGTGTGATTCACAGTGAATAGACAATACATAGAAAATTCTGTTTTTCTCTTATTATCTCATGTAGCGTTAAATCGATTTAATTCACCAAATAAGGTTTTATATGACATTTGCATTCTAAGATACTGCTTTTAGTTTCTGTGTGATTTGTATTCTATTTACTAAAGTATATGCTGTCTCTCCCTTGTATGTAAATAGTTTTGGCTGAGCAACTTTTGAAGTTGTTCTCCTCCTACTCTAATACATTTCTCTCTTAAAGAGTAAATACTCAGCATGGACCACACTGTTGATTTGAGTTTCATTAAGTTGTTCTTTTGCGTGAACAGACGGAGAAATTGTTGTCCAGTTTGCAAATTGTTTTATCAGTCCTATTGAATCAGTGTTGTTCATGTCAATTCAATGGAGACTACATCAAAATTGAAGATACTTCACTTAACCGAGCAGTGTTCCTTCGGACTATAAGATTCTGTAGAATATCCACCATATCAGTAATAGAGTCTGATTTCCTAAAGATAATTTAATCGCGAAGAAGAAACCCTGAGCATTGGAGTTAAAAAAATAACTATAACATGCACCAAAAAATTAAAGCTAACTGAAGTTGTGCTGAGGAACTATCATATATCCAGAGATGGTAGTGGTTATGGTGCTCTGAGTGTTCTTTATAAATAAAACACACAAATACCATAGTTGTGTTTAGGCTCTAGGCCAAAAAAAATGTTTTGCTCCCCTCAGCGCAAGGGTGGCTTAAAGGTAGATTCCCATCTGTCTGTCGTGCATCTCCGAAGATGTGTTGCCAGCAGGTAATATACAATTTGACCATCCTTGCAGGGTTTTATTTGTGAGCAGTTTTTGTATGTTTGTATATATGAATGCATGTTTTTGAATGGAGTATGTGAACGTAGGGGTCTATGAGTGTGTAGTGTTGGCATTTGAATGCAGTTGTGTGTTTGTATGTACTGTTGCCACTTAAAAGCAGTGGCATACTTGTGTGTATTGTGTTGTCTGTATTTGTTTTTGACTGAAGGGGTGTATTTGTGTATAGTTTTGGGTTTTGAATGCAGGGGTGTGTTTGTATGTAGTGTTGGTGTTTGATTGCAATAGCATGTTTGTATGTAGTGTTGATGTTTTAATTTGAATGCTGGCATGTATGCACACATAGAAATATGCGGCTAAACACTAATATACATACACACAGACACACATTTACACATACACTTTGGCACATAAATAGACACATATCCCCACACTGACACACACAGATACACATATATGCTGACACACAAATACAAACAAATACACTGACACACACACATACACACACTGACACATAGAGATGCACATACACAGATACACACACTGACACACAGAGATACATAGATACAGATACACAAGTTGCAATTTACATGTTATTAGCCACCCCACTGCTTCCATACTTTTTGGATGCAGGAGGGTGGCTTCCTTGGCTGACTGAGGATGATCAGTGTCTGAGGCTGCCTGCAGTGATCTTCCTCCTCCCCTCTCTGTGCCTTTTCTGTCCTCCCAGCCTCAGCGCAGTCTGTAAGCTTAGAGGAAGTGACAGGAAATCACTTCCTCCCAGGACTGGGTGCTGACAGTTAAGGGGCCCTGTGACACTGCTAAAGGGTCACAACACCTGACTGGGACCCTGATCAGACCAGCCTGCCTGCTGGGTTTGCCTTAAGTGTACGGGCCCCCAGAACCTATGAGCCCTGGTGCCGCCGTATCGGCTGCAACGGCGGTAGATCCCCCACTGACCATTGCAATGATCCTTTTTGAGTACCATTTAAACCAAGTGCATTCCCATCTTTCTGTTTTGGCTGAAACTATCTATCCTCTTGAGCCCTAGTAGTGATAGTTGAGAACCTGTAAGGATACACTTCTTACATTCTGGAATTATCCAGTTTAATCCTACCTAAATGCCCTGCTCCCAGACCCAATTTAAAAGAAGATGCCTGTAAACAGAGCAGGTAAGGAATTCAATTCAATTGAATTCAAACTACTTTCCCAAAGCAAACACAGACTGGCACACCTGGAAGCACATTTAACATACATACAAAAAAAGTTTAAATAGCCACTTATAGTCAGACACACAACCAGATTTCTGAAAAAGATAGTCACAAAAAGCAGCTTGTTTAATTTGCTTTTAGTTAGCATTACAAATTATACATTTATAAATTTCATAACAAGCAAGGCCAATAATGTGAAGTATAGAGTTATAAGAGTCAAATGACTGGTGTTGTCAAAATTCTAAAGCGTTAAACACACATTTAATGATATGTGCTTAAAATGTTGCAGGTAATAGACAATTTTAAAAGCATGTTAAAAATTGATCATTGAGTGATCCTGAAAGCTCACTGTATTCACTGCATTTTTAGTACTGCAGCATTACAGAACTGCTAAGTCTAAATTTTGTGTTAAAGTGAATTAAATGAAGTCTTCACCTTTAGGGACACTTAGGACACATACCAGTGATAGCTTGCGTGAGAGGCTGAGAGCATTCAGTTGACACACTATTGCTGGTGTGACTCTGCCTTAGTCTTGCCTGTCTTGGGGAGTGGGGGGGAGGGTGGGTTGTGGGCTGCTGGGGACCCTAAGTCACTGTTAAACTGTTCAAAAACAATTTGACAATAAAACGTGAGATGGTGTCTAAGGACTCCAAGCCATAACATCTTCAGTTAGAGAAAGTGATTATGGTGCCTACTGTGTCCCTTTAATAATGTAAACGCTAAACATACTATTCCAGGTAGGTGATAAATCTTTGTTATATTATCCTGAACTTCCATTTTCAAGAATATCAATAAAAAACTTAAAGGTCATGGAGAATATATAACAAGTATATATCTGTTTAACTTTGCTGCATTACCATAGGATCTAGTAAATAAATCAAGACCTGTGGAGAACTAACTGCAAATATTAATCCACTAGCCTAGTTGGAAAAAGCTGGAGAGCTTTTCCAGTTCAACTATTTTTGGTTTACATATTTACTAAAAGTTAACTAAATTAACTAAAGTGAGAATTGTTGTTAATTCACAGTGAATTCAAATGTAAGGCCGACATTGCTGAGCTGGAAGCAAAGCTGATTTTGAGAATTTTTCCAAGTCAGATATTTAAAACTTATATTTGAAATTCACTTTCATTATACTTCAAATTTCTGACAATTCTCACATTGTTGAATAACCATATTTGTTGTAATATATTTAATTTACTGTTCATAATACACATATACACTTAAGATCACTATTCCCCAAAAACTTATGCCAGAGAAACTAAGCATCCCCTAAATATCTTGGATGGGGTTTGAACTGGCATGTCAGGGAAAATGAGTATTCCTGTGACACGTATAATTTGGGTGGTACTATGCATGTGAAGACAATAGACAACCCCATGGAATAGCTGGGCACTGGCAAGTCTTTCCACTTCACATGTACTTTAATCCACAGCTCACTGAACATTGTGCATGGTATCATGAGAAAGTTCACAGCTCCCACTTAGCAAAGAGGGTATCTACCAGATCTGGTAATTATTCCACATTGAGTTAGGGTATAGAAGAAGTCAAAGGTCCACCTGCTGGACCTTTGACTATGGTGTGAGGATATAATGGAGAGAGGGATAGGATATAGGGTAGATAAATCTCTGGTTGAAAAGAAGGGACCTGAGACTTGTCTTTTTTTCACACTCTCCTTTACCAAATAAACATCTAAAGGTGTGGGAATAACAAAGCTACATGATTTGTCTGGTGTTACTTAGTGGCCTGGTGATCCCCACATTGACTTCTCACCTTTAACAAATCAAGTGAAGGAAGAAGAGGAAGTCTATTCAACCTCCCTAGTATCACTTTTTTTTCAAATGTTAGATTATTGCATTTAAAGATCAGACATGGCATAACACTGAGACACTAATATAAACTTATTATAATCCGACATGACATTGGTGGGTGCAGGGAGCCTTATCAGTGAAATTCCATGTCAAGTGTTAGCTGGAACCATATATGATGAGTGCCTTCCATCACACAGTTACCTTGTGAAGCCTTTTCCTTCATCTTGTCATCTAAAGTTTTTATATTCCTACCCAGGGGGAAACTACTGATATTATACCGTTATTATGATCTCTTTGTTCAATGCTGGTA